TTTGACCCTGTTATATCATCACCATCTAAAACAGCAGCAATAACATCCTGCCAAAACGGTGCTTTGTAATCACTAAAGTATCTACAGGAAGTACAGAGAAAAATGGGTTGATTTTCACAGGAGGCCTGATTCATTCAGAGCTGGTTGATGAGAGATACCTGAAGGTTTTCATACGTAGCTCCGTAACACATTAAACCACCGTGTGTCAGACCAGTTTCACAGCTGACGAATGCTGCTCTTTGGTATTCAACCTCACATTATCTTCTCTCATAGCAGCGCTGCCGTGATGAGTCAGTCGCTTCCCTTTAAAGTGATTTTTCATGAGGTGTGTTTCCTGTCGTCTGAAGGGCAAATGAGAGGCGGTCGTGGCTCAGCTTCACCCTTTGTGAAGTCCTGATGTCTCGTTCCTAAGGTGATGCCAGCATGTGTGCTCTGTTCACACCTCTGCTCTCTTTGTTTCTACCTCATGGATTGTACAGGAGTCCAATTAAAAAAGGCTGATTATTATATATTAACCATTGTTTCAGTCGTGCAGCAGGGCATCACGTTACATATAATAATTCATTCAGCAGAAACAAAAATATTCTGAAATAACAGAAATAGAAATCCCCCTTTTTCCCTCCAGCTTGACTGAAACAGCAGTTATGTCCCCCTCTGCTGATTGTTAAGAGATGCTTCACGTTGAACTGGTTTATTTTCCATTTTCCAGCCACTTACTTTTATTTTCTATTCACAGTTAATGGTAATATTGTGTAGCTACGAGTACAACAGACACACAAACACAATCTCTCTGGAAGACATCAGGAAATAACTAAAATGACAATAACAAATGACTCCTGTTTTAATTCTTCCCATAAATCAGTGATTATTTTATTGCTGTTTCTTTGTTCTGAGATGTCTGGAAGAGCAAGAAAGCAAAAATAAAGCTTTATCATTAGCTCTGTTAGATATAAGCTTCCCAGTAAGCCATGACGGGGGGACAGTGAGAATTAGAAGGACCCTGAAACTGAAGCACCTAAATGGAATTCAGCCATGATTCACTTTATTTGCACTCTTCTGTGCCTCTTTATAAACAAACAGAATATTGTTGGATTATAACCACTAATGTAATATAATCAAATCACATTTATTGTCACTTTGCTGTACATACACAGTAGTGCAGGCAATGTACGCCACCATCATCAGTTAGTACATATCCTGTACATGTTAGATATTACGTCACATTCACACCTACAGACAATTTAGAATCACCAATTAACCTCAACATGTTTTTGGACCTTGTGGGAGGAAGAACCCGGAGAGAACCCGGAGAGAACCCACGCTGCACAGGGGGAACATGCAAACTCCATGCAGAAAAATCCCAGGTGTCCTCACCAGGACTTGAACTGGCGACCTTCTAGCTGTGAGGCAACAGTGCTAACCACTGTACCACCTTAGAATTTGATGTAGAGTTTTATTTATTTATCATATTTTACCTTGTGCTATTTGCTCATATGATCAAGTGCAATTCCACGCTGTGCAATGTATATACTGCTTACTCTTTAAAGCACTGTTTGTGGACTGATGTTGTCATGAATGGTTGTTTTGTGCATTTTGTGTGTTTGTTGTATATGTGTACTTTTAGCCCAAGACAAATTTCCTTCAGGACAGTAAAGTTAATCTCATCTCGTCATCCTTTTAAACTCGCTATCCATTCTGCACATTTTCATTTTTTTTACGATGGGTATTTACATGTGTTTGCATGCAGTTTTTTATGAATTGTTTAGTTTGTACCTGTCCTGCCTGATATTTTACCTGTCAAAGCACTTGTTGTTCTTAAAGGTGCAATACAAATAAAGTTATTATTACTATTATCTCATGGTTGGACACACACACAGATGGGACGGATTACTCTGTAGTTGCCTCCTGATTAGGGGCAACTATAAAATATTGGGAACATTTTTGGGCGCATTGCGGGTTGCGCTGTGTTTTTACGGTACGCTGGTGTGGTTTTGTCGCCGCGCTATTGGGTGCGTTACGGTAACGAGTTACGTCAGTTTGGACCGAGTTACGCCCATTGAGAAAAAAAAAAGAAGCGGAGCGGCGTGAAAGAAGGTTATTTACTCCGCTGCGCTGCTGGAGGCTGGAGCTCATCCCTGACAACCCGCTGCAAGCCGAGGAGGAGCTCACACACACTTCGCCAAACTCCTTCTCAAGAGTTTCGGTTCGGTCTCGTTGGACGTGTCTTCGGTTTTTTCCGAGCAGCTGAAGTTCGGAGGGAACCAGGTGAGAGATGCTCGGACGACAAAACGGCTTTTTACTCCGCCAAGAGTCGCGCGCTTAATCTCAACAGCAGCTAGCTAAAAGTTGTTTCTTAAGCTAGCTGTCGGTGTTTAAAAGTGAAAACTGGCTTTATTAAATATGTTTAGTGGTGAAAGTGGGGGGTTTTGCTTTCCAACTAAGTTCAGTAAGTTCCCTCAGTCTTGGCTTTCCATTACGGATTTAGTTTTCCTGGCGCTCGTTTCCTTTGGAGGAGGTGGAGGCACAAAAAAGAAACAGTCTGAGCCTAAGTGGTGAATGAAAAAAGAAGCTTGAAACAGGCTTTCTCTCAACACCACCCTCCTCTCATTCTGAGCTAATGAAGTGATGAGCTTCTGTGGGAGTTTGAAGAGCTGCAGGATGTTGCCAGTGTTTATGTGGAGCTCATTACTGGGAGGCTGTTGGTGGAGGGAACAGCTTCTGAGCCCTGCTTTAGGCTTTGTTGTTGGTAGAAACAAGAGGAGCATCAGGTGATGTGGTGGGCATGAGATGAGTTGATTTATGTGTCTGAAAAGAAAAAAAAAGTCCCAGATTTGTAATGAGTGACACGGTTTCAGTCAGGATGTGGCTGCTTCTTGGTCCCCCTCCTCCTACTCCGATTGTACAGATTTGCAGATTTTAACAGACTCACCGAGGGTTGGATTTTGTCTTGCATGTTTCAGCGTGTTCAGGACTTCATGTCCCTTTGAGTGAGAAGGTCTCTTACTTGTACTGAGTGAAATTCTCAGGTTGCACTTTCCAATTCAAATTTTATTTTTTTTCTTCTTCCAGCAGCAGACCAAAATGTCCTTGGTCCATTTTATTGTTCACGGCGTCATTCATCGTGTTGGCATGAAGAACCTCTCGAATGTTGAAGTCACGACATGACTTTCAGACATTTCCAAGTAAAGCGAAGTAGTACTTGCTAACAGAAATGATTGTTAACGGTTTAATTTAACAGCATTGGAGACATTGCATTCAGAAGCAGTCACCTTGACAGGAAGATTTAGCACGATACAGCCTGTAAAGACCAGAACACAGTGTAGTTCAGAATCCATCCTGAGCTGTACCTGGAGTCCATAGCTGTGTGTACGTAATATAAACTAACATTTATAGGATTTAAACGGTTAGTAAACAAGAAATATCTTTCTGTTGCACAGGAAATTATATAATGTCTGCATCACAAAATGCCAATTAAACTAAGGCTTTCCATCCATTATCTATACACCGCTTAATCCCATCACAAGGGGCTGGAGTCTATCCCAGCTGACTCAGGGTGAAGGCAGGTTTACCTGGACAGGTAACCAGTCTATCACAGGGCTACACTTAGAGAGAGACAACCACGCACACTCACATTCACACCTACGGACAATTTAGAATCACCAATTAATCTCAACGTGTTTTTGGACTGTGGGAGGAAGCCAGAGAACCCGGAGAGAACCCACGCTGTACGGGGAGAACATGCAAACTCCACACAGAAAGATCCCGGGTGCGAGGCAATGGTGCTAACCACCGTTCCACCTTGCAGCCCCGAAGGACAGCATGAATTTGCAAAATCGTTGCTTGCAGCCTTGCTAATTGTGTCGTTTCAAATTGCAGTTTTGATTTTTAAATTCAATCACTGTTCACCCCTAAATGTCACAGTCAGGTAGACTTCACAGAGAGGCAGCAACATGTTTCCCCAAATGAACACTGATTTATTGTTTCTCTGAGTTTCAACATCACCCACAGTTACACTTGAACATTTATGCAAACCAGATATGACGTGGAATGGGGTTTTTTGCCTTTATTTTTTAGAGTGAGATAGACAGGAAAGGGGGGAGAAGAATGGGGAGAGACCTGCTGCAAAGGCTCGTGAGCGGAAGTCGAACCCACGACCATTGCGTTGGAGAACTATAGCCCCTGTTCATAGGTTGCCCGCTCAACTAGGTGAGCTATAGGGGGCCCAGGATGTGTCATTTTAATCACTACACCTGCAGGGCATGTACGATGTTGTTGTGTGAGTCACAGGCAAATGAGGCACCGAGCTGCTTGTCATGGTGTTGTTGTGTTTTTGGAACCGGCATGGCGCCGTTTCGAGTTTTTGCCAAGTTGAAGGGGCAATAAAACCCCATAGTGGTGTCTGTGTTTGGTATAAAGCAGTCATTTCCACGAAGCTGGCAGTGTAATTTATTAACACTTTTTGGCTCATTATTGTGTAAGTGAAACCCACAAATAAACAGAGATAAGAGTCTATTTTAACAGCAGATATCGACAGCGTGTCTGCTCCGGCTGCACCAGGTGTAAATGTAGTGTTGTCACAGCTGGTTTGTGATAAGTTGTGTTGTTCAGTGTAGCCCAGCATTACAACACAACATACCCAAGAGTTAGAGCAGAACTCCACCAATTTTTTCTGGAAACAAAACAACTTGTAGTCAACATAAATAGTCTGAAGTGATGTGTTTTGAATCAGCGTTGGTTTGAAGAAACAACACCGAACTGTGGGTTGTTGTAGGTAATGTCGGCACCAGCTTTGGACAAGAAAGAAGACTTTATGTCCCACTCTGCTGCACTGATTTGGAAGCTACCGTCACCCACAAATCCAGCATTGTTACCGGAGAAGAGCGCTGTTTTCTGCATTTTTTTCAGGCATTTACTCAGGACGTGTTTTCATTAAACAGTAATGCATCAGCTTTCAGGCAGCTCACTGGTTTACGTGACCCCGCAGGAACTCAAGGCCAAATCATAAATGCCTTTCAGAAATGCCAACTTGCGCCGTCGTGCCACTTTTAAGAGCTCAACCGGGATCTTTATGGCCGGGCCTTTAGCAGCTGTAAAACCAGGAGATGGAGCTTGTTGTGAAGGCCCTTAGATGTTGTTGTGAAATATGATCTGCTGTAATAGTCCCTCGTGAGCGCTGGCTGTCGACAATAAAGCGCTGACAATGAGAGGGAGAGGGGGAGGGAAGAGGGGAGGCGGTGGTGTAAGGAAGCGGGAAGGAGACGGAGAACCTACCTGGACTGGTTGCAGTAACGGCCTCCACTGTTCTGGTTTTAGACCTTTTTAAAAGATCAGATTTGTCACTGTGGCTGTAAAGCTTTCCCCCCTTTAGCCACACTAACATCGGTGATGATGTTGGGCGATAAAACCTGGCTTGTACTCGCTGTCCCAATAAATTCCAAAGGACTCAAGGTCAGGGTCCTGTACAAGCTGGTCAAGTTCTTCCACACCAACTGGGGCAAAAGCAGTTTTTATGAAGCTGGATTCGTGTACAGACACATTTTCCTGTCTTGTTGGGTGTTGGATGAACACTATTATCTAAAACATAATTGTAGTGTTAGGATCCCTCTGAGGTATAAACCAAAAGCAAACAATGGTGGGGTTTAGGATCGCTCATCGGCAGATTTCGTTACCTTTGGATGATATTTCCACTTGCTTCCTGTTTTGATGGTGGGCTAAACTAATGGGCTGCTGGTAGCTTTGTATTCACCGTACAGACATCAGCATAGTGTCAGTCTTCTAGTGATCTATTCTCAACAAAATGTTCAGTTTACATCAACATGATACAGAGAAAGCAGTAAGTTCTCACACTGGAGAAGCTGCAGCGCGACAAATTACCCAAACAATACTCAGAATTATCACTAATTGTTTTCTTGTCTTAATCATTTCAGCTTTTAGAGCAACGACCGAAGCATGTGACTGTTTGATGGCGACGCTTGTGTGTTTTGTGTGTGTGTACACAAGGCCGAACCAGCCGGCCGTAAACGTGATAAGAGGCCTGAAGAGAAAATATGGAGGTGAAGCAGGAAGATTAAAGGGGTTAAAAGGAAGCGAGTATTGTTGTCATAACCTGTGTGTGTTTAGCCGCCTCTGTAAACTACATGTGTGCACAGGCAAGTGAGTTTATTGCGTGCGGATCGGGGGCAAATTCCACTCGCATTTTATGAAATATGACTGGAATGACTTCTGGAGGCATATCTGCGCTTATCAGCACATCGCTCAGGGTCACACCTCAGGAAAGAGACAGAACCAAACCAGGTAGCGCTTTGTTAAACTGGTAAGTTGATAATCCTTAAAATTTGCATCACTTTGCTACGAGAATCAACTTAAGCTGTGCGGTTGGCTTCTCTTCCTTTGGTTCTCTTGGGGTTAGCGCTAGCAAATTTAGACACGATGGCTCAATACTTTGTCTCCGCATGCAAGAAGCGTGGTTACATTGAGAAATTAGGTTGCAAAACAAAAAAAAAATCACATGTTGAAGTGCAGCTGGTCAGTAATCAGATTTCTGCCTTCGACCAAACGAGTAATGTGATCCACCAGCTGTTTTCTTCTTGTCCCAGCAGTTGGACCGACTGTGCAACAGTGTCTGTGGCGAAAGAGAACTATTTTAGCTTCGGCTGAACTTTGCATGTTGTTATTTTACATTTTTGGATGCACATGTTACGTTTGTGCTTCTATAAAACCTCACGACAGGTCTGTATTCTTGGCCAAAGAAATGGTACACGTCTAGTTGGTTTTCTCTTAGTGGTAAAAGCCTGAAATAAATAAGATGCTTCAAGTGTGCCACTGATAGAAAGTCGAACAACATGAATAGAAACTTCACAGTACAGTTTAAAGTCTAGTGAAGCTGTACCTTCATAGTTTATCTGCACTTTTTAGGGCCAAGAAATGTGATGGCTGCATTTTGTATCCTCCAAGCTAAGATGGATTCAAACCAAGAAATGTCAACAAATATAATAATTGCTTGTTTTAGTCATTTATCACAGAAAACAAGCCGAAACATTTGCCATTTTTAGCGTTTTTTAAATTTTGTATAATTCTAAATGGGGCTGCAAGGTGGTTCAGTGGTTAGCACCGTTGCCTCGCAGCAAGAAGGTCGCCGGTTTGCGTCCCGGTGAGGACACCCGGGATCTTCCTGCCTGGAGTCTCCATGTTTCCTAGAAATAAACTCAGCCCGACACAATTGTTGCAGCAATGTTTCGTAACATGATAAACAGATGCTTGCCTGG